GCCGGGGTGCGACCGCCTGCCCCGAGGCCGGCCCTGCTGCCGCCCCTCACTCGGTGCGCAAGATGATGTGGATGCCCGAGTCCGTGAACACCGGCCCGCTCATCTCCCCCGTCCGCAGCGCGAACGAGGCGTCATCGAATGGCTTCTGCATCTGACCTGGGGACCGTGAGAGAGCAGGGGTGGAGGGGGAGGTGTCAAGGCCGGGCACAGGACGGGGCCGGCGGCGGCAGATGGGACTCCTGCCTGCGCCCAGCGCCCAGCCTCTGGGCTCATTGGCACTCATTCGTCACCAAGTTTATGGCCCTGTCACTGTGCTCGCTGCACAGCGGCCCCGCTGGGGGCGGCAGGGCCATTAAGGAGGTCCCGGGAAGCCGGGGGACAGCATGAGGGATGGCTGGCAGAGAGGCTGTCTCGCTGTCGCCACCAGGCATTCGGAGATACATGCTGCGGATGAATTCATCTCCCGGGGGCCTGGCTCGAGTCCCCACCACCTCCACTGTCCAGCGGGCCTCCTCCAAGGGGGATGGCCCCTCCGCAGTGGCCCATAAATTCCAAGGATTAAGAGAAGAGGAGACACTTGTGCTGCCCTGGCCAGACAGGCCCATCCTCAGGGCTGCCATCTGAGCCCACGCTGCCTCCCTCACCCCTGGGTTTTCCCCACTTGCCAGACTGGGGCACGGAGTCTGGGGTGCATGCCCTGGGGCTCCCCAAGGCTCCACCTGAAACCCTCCAAAGGAGAAGCAGATGGCAGGGTGAAGCTGTCTCAGTGGGCCCATGACAGGGACGACTGAGCACACAGCCGGAAGCCCGAGCTCCCTGGGGAAAATGGAAAAGATGCTGCACCTCCTCCTGAGAACCTCCCCACCCCTGCAGGGCAGCCTCTGAAGCCTGAGGGAGGGACGGTGCTGCCCCCTGGTGGGCTGTGAATGGCTGTGCGCCCGCCACTCCCCTCCAGGGCTGCAGGGGGATTGGGGGGGGGGGCTCACCCACCTCTGCTGAAGGCACCCAGGTCGCCCCTGGCCTTGGCCGAGCTGCAGTCACTGAATTGTGAGGCCAGAGACTCAAAGTCCTCCTCTCCGGACTTGATCTTCTGAATGTAACCTGCGGACACAAGGCGGGGAGCATTTCCCCATTAGGGCAGGGCTGGGGTGCACCTGTGAGGAGGAGCAGCCCATACCCCATTTCAGAAAGAATCTACTTCCCAGCCCTGTCGGGGAGGGGTGGAGAACAGGAGACAGAGAGAGGCCCAAACTAGAGGCTGGACCCCACGGTAGGGCCTGGAGATCCCCTAGGCCAGGCACAGGGTGCTGGGGGCTCTGTGAGACACCCCCCCAGGGGCCAGCAGCACAGCCCTCATCCCGGCTCCCAGGGCAGAGTGCCCTGGGGTGTCCCGGTAGAGGCCTCGGTGCAGCTGAGTCTTTTTTTTTTTTGGGGGGGGGCGGGGGGGGGGGAGGCCAGGGCTGATGGAGGGAGGTGAAGGGTGACAGTGAGGAAAAGGGCCCCCTACAGAGGGTGTGAGATGGCGGTGCCACCCACAGGTGTGACTCACATGTCAGGGTGACTGTATGCATGTGCATGCACACGTATGGCTGCACGTGGGGTGTGTGCAAGTGTGCACATGGCATACATACATACGTGTGACGGTGGGTGTGTGTCCACACTGCATGTGCATGTCTGTGTGTGCATGCATCAGGTAGGGGGAGCTGCCGGCCGGCTTCCTGAATCCAGGCAGCCTACACCGGGCAGGGAGCTGTCCTTTCCTCCCCACCAGCCCCTCCAACCGGGCCAGCTCACCCTGCTCAACCACTAAGTGTCCTGCCTGGCCGGCAGGCTGGGCCACCAGCATTTCCACCCAAGGGAACCCTGGCGGGGAGGTGGGGGGGAGTGTCGCTTCCCCAGCAGCTGGCCTGGCAGCCGCCCTCGAGCAGACACCAGGACCACACTCCCACCTAGCACGTCTGGCTGTGTCTTGGGCAGCAGCCCACAGTGACAATTCTCTCCAGGTGTGAAGTCTCCCTGACACGCCAGCTGCTGGCTTTGTCTGTGTCACCCACACATAGCCACCTGCTGCTCCTGCCTGGGAAACCTGCATTCCCTTTGCCTCTCAGTCTGACCATCGGACGATGTGCTGGCAGGACATTGGGACGCATAGCACAGCGCCCCCTGCCGGAGAGACCTGGTACCACTTCCTGCCACCATTCTCCCTCCAGCCACTGGGTCTGGGGCTTGAACTGCAATTGGCCACGTGGAAATCCAACGACGGAAGCATTACACCATCTGCTGGTCCCGTTGTTATTATTATTATTTTATTTATTAATTTATATTTTGGAGTTTTTTTTTGCTATAGGGCACATGCGTTCATCAGAAAGACAGAGACACAGGGACCAGCAGTTAGCATAATGGCTATGTCACTGGACTCCCATGTAGTTGACTATGGTTCGAGTCCTGGACCCGGTGGCATAAACTCATGCCAGGCGCGTGTGCGTGCGTGCCCAAGATCCCGAGAGGAGAATGGAGGAGAAGGGATTGTGGCGTGGCCATCCCCCCTGGGGGATGATATCTTGCTTTCTCTCTGTCTCTCTCTGTCTGGCGAGCGCACACGCCCTATAGCAAAAAAATAAAGAAAGAAAAGAAAGAAAAGAAATGCTCCCCTCCCAGTTCCCACCTCCACCAGGGCTGACCTTCAGGGGTTTGTACCTATGCTCCCCACCATGGGGTCCCTCCTCATCCTGCCCTGCAGCTCCCTCCTCCCCACCTCCCCTCCCCCATCCCAGCCTGTGCTTGGAGCATCTCTGCCTGCCTGGATTGTTCCTGCAGTCCCCTGGTCTCTGTCCCTACGTGTGCATATGTGTGTGTGCGCGTGTGCACACGTGTCTCCGGCTTCATGCAGGGAGGACGGGGGCCGGGCGGGCCGTGTTCACCGCTGTTCCGCCAGCGCTCTGCTTTGTGCACTGCACTGACGCTGCTGTCGTCTCAGGGATCGTGAATAAATGAGACAGAGAGAGGCCACGGGGAAGGAGGGGGTCGGGGACCCACCATTAGTCGTTGGGCAGAAATGCAGGCCTGGCAGGCCTTTTCTACCCAAACCCCTGGTCTCAGCGCTGACGCCAGACTTCCGGGACTCCTCCAGGACAGTGTCTCCCAGAGACAGCGCGCCTCGAACCCCACCCATCAGAGAACTGGGGCAGCCCCAGGGAAACCTCTGTGGGAGCTCCCAGCCTGGAGCGGGGGCCCTCCGCCAGGTGAGGGGGAACCCGGGAACCCCTGAAATGGCAAAACATGCGAATCGACTTGGTTTGATCATCACGCACTGTATTTGTGTATGGGAGAATCACACCGCCTGCTCCATGGACATGTGCAATTACTAAACGTCAATCAAAAAAATAAAAAACTGAGGGACCAGCAGATAATGTAATGGCTCTGTCGCTGGACTCCCACGTAGTCGACCGCAGTTCGAGTCCCGGACCCGGCGGCTTAAACTCACGCCGGGCGTGTGTGCGTGCGTGCCCAAGATCCCGAGAGGAGAATGGAGGAGAAGGGATTGCGGCGTGGCCATCCCCCCTGGGGGGTGATTTCTCGCTTTCTGTCTCTCTGTCCAGAGAGGGCACATGCCATATAGCAAAAATCTCTCTTAAAAAACAATAAAGGCGGGGGGAGTGGGGGCACGGCCCGCAGGTGGCATGGTGGTTAGGGTGTTGGACTTCTACATGGCTTACTGTGGTTTGAGTCCTGGACCTGGCAGCTTGCTTTCACACTTTCCCTCTCTCTCTTTAGTGAAATAAATAATAATAATAAATAAGCAATTCTTTTTTAGATTTTTTTTTGAGAGTTTTTTTGCTATAGGGAGAGGGCACATGCCATATAGCAAAAATCTCTCTTAAAAAACAATAAAGGCGGGGGGAGTGGGGGCACGGCCCGCAGGTGGCATGGTGGTTAGGGTGTTGGACTTCTACATGGCTTACTGTGGTTTGAGTCCTGGACCTGGCAGCTTGCTTTCACACTTTCCCTCTCTCTCTTTAGTGAAATAAATAATAATAATAAATAAGCAATTCTTTTTTAGATTTTTTTTTGAGAGTTTTTTTGCTATAGGGCGCATGCGCTCGCCAGACAGAGAGAGACAGAGAGACAGAAAGCGAGAAATCACCCCCCAGGGGGGATGGCCACGCCGCAATCCCTTCTCCTCCATTCTCCTCTCGGGATCTTGGGCACGCACGCACACACGCCCGGCGTGAGTTTAAGCCACCGGGTCCAGGACACGAACCGCAGTCGACCATGTGGGAGTCCAGCAACATAGCCATTACGCTAACTGCTGGTTCCCACAAATAAGCAATTCTTAAAAAAAAAAAAATGCAGAAAGTAGGGCCAGCCTGTGGGATAGTTAAGGCAGCTGGATCCCATGTGGCCAACTGCATGGTTCAAGTCCAGGACCTGGTGACTTGAAAAACACGCTAGGCACATGTGAGTGTGTGCCCCAAATCCCGAGAGGAGAACAAGGAAGGGACTGTGGCGTGGCACCCCCCTGGAGGAGTGCTTTCTCTTTCTCACTCTCTTGTCTCTCTCTACTAAATACTTGCATCCTCTAGCAAAAAAACAGAGGGAGAGGAAAGGGGCCGGTAAGTGGCATGGCCATAAAGTGCACTTGACTCCCACATGGCCAACTGTGGTTCGAGTCCCAGACCTGGCAGCTTGCTTTCTCACCCCCCTCACCCACCTGCCCCTGTCTCAAAATTAAAAATGGGGGCTGGCAGGTGATGTGGTAGTTAAGGGCGCTGGGTTCCCATATGGCTGAGCACAGGTTA